GGATGTGGGGTACATGTACAACAATCGAGTTTTGAACATCGGTCTAAGGGAATGGATGCCATCTCTCCCACTCGTTACGGTACTCGCTACTGTCTGCTGGGCTGGCTTGCGAGCGGGACAAATCAATAAATGCCTTCGTGGGAGCCAGAGGGAGAGCAAACATAAATAATTAAAACAATGAATTCATTGCTAATCTGTCTCTGACTCTTTTCGATAGATAGAGATGGATTCGTGGTGTCATATTAAGAAAAAAAAAAAAAACAGATTGTGGAAATATGTACAGAGCCTTCGCTGACGCTATGGATTCATTGCTAATCTATCTTACACTCTTTTCGATAGATAGAGGTGGATTCGTTGGGTCATATCAAGAAAATAAAAAAACAGACAAGAAACTTGACGTGTGTGCCGCTTCCACACAGCAATGGATGTACAACGAACGGAAACAGCAACGAAAACACGAAAACTCTTGTCAGTCGACGTACGTACGTATGCATATGCGTATGCAATGTAGGTATGCGTAGTACGCATGCATACGTAGCTTGCCGGGTCTTATTTCCATCCACGAACAAAGCGCCCCTCGCAAAGAGGAAAAACCCAACTTGAAAGAGGCGATGGGTGGGTGGGTCTTCGCCTTCGACGTCTCTTCTCGATACTGATCTGCCCGTCGCGTAAGGGTCGTTTTAAACTAAACGCTGTTTTGCTTCCAAATTTCCGAATTTCCAAAATCTGACTTTGCAGATTTCTCTCATTAATATTCAATAATTTTTGGACGCAACTTGTGTTCCAAAATTAACCACTAAAGACAGTATGTAGCAGTACGGAGTACGGAATTCGTATGTAAGCAACCGTTCCAGAATTTTCGGTGCCATCATCAAACTTTCCAAATTCCCCAAAAAAAAAATTCTCGGCCGCAAAAATTGAGGTTCTATACAAAAACGATCTACGGATTTGGAAATTGGAAGCGAAATTACGGCCCTAACCGGGCCTCTCTATCGGAGCGAGCGTAACTTATTATCAGCTTACGGTATTTTCTTGTGTGCAGGTGCGCTACTGCTGGGCACCAGCAGCGGGGAAACAAGGTGACGATGGGATGGTTGGCGAGCAAAAAACTTGCGAATACACTTCCCAGATCTGCATACAAGGAACGAAGCGGGGTGCTTGAGTACTGCTGTACATATGTGGTACAAGCAGTATATCATATGTATACAATTGTATCAGGATCGTATCTTACAGGTGGACACGAAAAGGGGCAGCTGTTGTGTGCGAGAAAAATAAAAAGTAAAACGATGAGGGAAGAGGGGGAAGATCGATTGGCTCCGGGAAAAAAAAAGCAACTCCGAGTATATCTACGAGTGTCACACGTCCAAAAAGAAGCATAATTTTATACTTCGTATACCGTATATGACACAAGATAACACACCCCCTGGACCGATTTTCAAAGCTCGATTACTCCACGACGAAGAGGATGCATAAACGAAACAATACATTTTCGAAAACCTCTCGACGAGACGGTTCCAACGCCGCCGTTTTCGGCGCTGTGACTCTTCCTGCTGTTGAGAAATCGATCTTTGAAAATCGGCCCAGGGGGTGTGTTATCTTGTGTCATATACGGTATACCTGTACATCAGTACAGAGGAAGAGATCGAAAGGGCGTGTAAGTTGGGGATTGGTTGGTTGTCCGCAGCTTCTTGCCAACCATCAAACACCGATGTCAGTGCGAGCAAGCCCCCCGCTCCGATATGTTGATTGATCAAACGGTCGAGCTGGCTGTAAACTATTTTTATTTGAATAGTTGTGCGAAGAAAACATCAACACCTGTTGCAGCTCGTGCGTATCTAGGCACAAAAGAAGAAAGCATCGATCTCTGACAAGCTGCGACCTGTGCATTGTAGACCGCGCTAAAAGCCAAAGGGCGGCTTTTCCCCCGCACGGATGGGCCTAAACGGCCCCACCCATGCATAATCCCTTCGTACACCAACAAAACAACAGCAGTCGCAACCATCCAAACCTACAAGAGCTGGTGTGGGGTGCAGCTGTTTTTCTCTACGATTTTTTATTGGTGTGGTGTGCGGAAAGACTTCGTGTGCGAACCATCCACCACACATAACCAAAAAGAGAGCAGCAGCAGCAGCAGCAGCAGCAGCAGCAACAGCAGGAGCAGCAGCAGCCAAAGGCGAGAATGACGCTACAATGCATAATAGGTATCTACGAGATGCGGGCTCTCGCCTGCTGTTCGGAATAACGGGTCAATTAGCGCCGGGATCATCACGCCCTGACCAAAAAAAAATCTCTCTGTTGTATGTGTATGAAACCTTTGCGGCAAATCACAGCAGCAGGAAAACGGAAAGCGTTGGCCGGCCGAAAGATGATTGATTCCGAACGGCTTATCCACAACTCATGATATATGATAAAATAATGTTATATAATCGAAAAGTCGGAGAACAGCAGTACGGACGTCAGCGCGACCAGAGAGAGAGAGAGAGAGTCGTCTGCTGCCGTACGCAATTCGAGGCGCCGCAAAACCACGGACGACATTGCATGTGGTTCAGAGACCAGGAGAGAGATGAACGAAAAAAAATATTGAACGACAACAAGAGCGGGTTGGTGCGATGAGCGGGGGCGAGGGCAAAACAACAACAAACAACTCGGTCTCCGCCCACCTGCTTCTTGGTCACGTACGCAATCTGCACGTTGTTGACACGGCCTTCGGTCAAGAAGGCATCCATGTCCGCCTTACTTCCCTTCACCGTGACCTTGGAGAGGATGTTTGGGGACGCAAGCCCCGACCCATCCTCCACGCTGCTAGAATTGCCCATTATTAGATTGTCCCCTCCCTCCCGCACAGCTCGGCGGTCTTGTTTTTCGCGCTCTTCTTTCTCCCCGAGAGCACAGCTCTCTGCCCTCACGCCCTGCTCTCCTCTCGCACAGCGATCCCGCCCACGGTTGCAAGGCGGCAGACCGGCGGCGGCGCTGGCCAAGGAAGACAAGAGGGGTCTCTGCCTGATATATACGTTCAGCACGAAGAGATGATGAAGGCCCTCCTCATCGCAGAAGCATCTGCATCAGCGGAATGAAGATGGACTCACGTGCGACTCGATACCCGCTCCTGTTGACCCCCCCCTACGACCCCCATCTCTTGTGCCCCCCTTATTCAGCCGTCAAGGCCAACAGCAAGCGTTGTTGTGATGTGGTTGACGCGCCAGGAGCGTCTGGTAAGTGAAGTCGGGTGGTGTGGAAATTTGCACGCACGGACGAACACGCACCACCTCGAAGGTCCACACTGTGCTTGGGTGGTGGGCGATACCACGGAAGCTTGGGAGCAGCAGTAAGGCGTAAGAGACACGTTGACGTCATGTACATGCGAACGGCATTCGCAAGGATAACGAGCGCTCGCCGGGCTGCCGCTGGGGCTGCTCGGGCGGCGATCGCCACGGCTCCTCCTCTCGCGAGGCCACCGCCATCGCCGTCAGACCGCTGCCTCACAGCAGCCGCCGGACTTCTTCTAGGTGGCTTCGCTGCGGTGGCGATTGATCAGCAAACCAGCGCACTTGCGGACGAGGATCCTGGGGCAACTCCTCCTCCAGGTGAATGTTGTACATTGCACAGCAGCATTTGCTGCTGTTGACAGCAGTAGTCGGTATAGTGAGGTGAACGAGAACTTGCCTAACAAGATGTTTGTCGATTACGTGGAGGTGCAGAACGACTCCTGTCGTTCTGCCTTCAGGACGCCATCTGATAATCTGTGATGTGATACGCATACTACATAAGACTCTTTGAAAAATGGATTTGAATTTTTTAGCACCAGAGGGTGGACCGCAGAGAGTCCGGCAGGCGGGAAGACGCGTAGCTCTTGCTATTATAGGCAGCATCATGGTCTTGCAACGTACGGAGTATGCTTCCCGTACAAGCGCTCAAGTTTGTTTCTTTTACTAGGGTGTCGACCGCACAAACGACTGGCCAACGAAAGCCGACAATCTTAATCTTACAGCGGGACAAAGAACAGCGCGGACACGATGATGTTTTCGTATGTACAGCAGTAGAAAACGCTACAATATGCGTACGTTTTCCGACGTAACATTGTGCGGCTCTTGGGAGACGAAGCTCTGCATGGAGTGAGTATGTGTAGCGCTCATGGTCCTTTCATTGCCGAACGCAGCTGCGAGGAGAGTCTCAAGCTCGATCGTGACAATGGGCATGTGGTTGTGACGAAATATGACCATGGGGGCGATCGCCAAGGCGTGCATGCGTAGTGCCAGTCCCATCATGTTCCGGTCTTTACGTATGGCCTTGGAAACGACCGAGATAGCATGTGCAGAACAGCAGTTGCACACATACGAAACATTTTCTGCATCGGCTTGAATAGCATGCAAGTACGTGAGACCAGATAAACCAGTTGTCCGAAACGGTAATCCGTCGATTGTCGCACTAAGCAGCGGTTGAGGCTTGTCCCCACAAGCATGTCAAGCGGTCTGTCTACCTCCGAACACCATCTTCGAACCAAGACAAACACACATTCCGCCATTTCCGCCTAAACTAAATTCAAGACGAACAGCCCACCGTCGGGGATTGACAAGAATAAATATCACTTTTACCGCACGGTTTGTAATTCCGTATTCCCCCCCTCGTTAACTCTGGGGTGGGGCAGGCGCCCTGCGGAAGTCGTCCACTTTCCCGGCTTGAACATCTCGATTGTCCGGGTTGAGTGCGGTCAACTCTCATTTGCGTCCAAAATTGTCATCTCCATTCCTCAGGTTGGTTTCTGCCCACAGTCGAAAGGGTCCCACCCGTTACTGTTGTGCCAGGGTTGGTTCTACATGCAGTGCCTGCACTGCAGAACTTGTCAGTCAAGGGCTTCAAGCTCAATATTATATTGTATCAAACATAAGCACCTTGAGCACCGTTGAGTGAGCCCGGTCAAGGACCCCTAGACTAAAACCAGAACAATATGGCGGCCTTTCGTGGCCCGAACGAGGAACCCAGCCTCAGCCAAAGTAGCTGTTGTTTAGGACGCTATCTGTAATCGAAGCGCGGGCTTTGGAATGCGCTCTCTCTTCGATAAGCTTTTCCGGCGTTGTTTTGCTCATGTCATCGATATTGAGCGGTGGAGCGCCGTGTTGGTAGGGCCACACCTCCGTTGAGAGAGCAGTTCTTGCTGATCTCGGCAATAGTCTTCCACGCTGAATCCAAGATAATGCGAGGCCAAGAAAATATTTATGAGGGTCATCTTGGAGTATTAAGTAATCGAACACGACCTTCCGGCTTTCGGAGTCCGTACTTGAGCGTCTCACCAGTAGAGGACATCATGGAGCATCGACTTCACATGCGCGTTTCGGCACGCTCAAGATCTGTTGCTGGACCCGAAGAGTTCGCAAATCTGGGTCCATACCGTGGATCGCTTTACACGCCGTCACAGGCCCAATCCCCCGACCGCGGTTACACAAGCAGCAGCTGTTTTTAGACCAGCATTCCGGGTGGTTTGGTCTGCGACGGCGTGTGTAGCTAGTGGATCGTGCACGGTATGGACCCAGAGATTGCGGGGTTTCTTTAGCGCAGCTGCAGCCCCAGCGGTAGATGTGGGGGTGCCCAACGCGCATGGCGTTGCTCTATGGCGTCCTCCTCTAGTTTAGATGTTGAAGATGGAACTTCGCAACGCAATGGCCGTATTCGAACACCGGCTGTGTCACCTGGTTTTGTCTTGGAATTACACTGGTGGAATTTCTGTCTTGGTTCGAGAGTAGAAGTGTGTGAAGGTCGATCGACATAGTGATTCGCTGGTGGAGACAAGCCCCAACCGCCTCTCTGTGCCATAATGACGGTGCTACTTCTTCCGGGAGCGTGGCCGGCACCCTGACCGCACTGCCCCCCCCCAATCAATACACGGATACGCCGGGATTTCGTATGGTATATCGCAACAACACGTAGGCACCACATTCCTCGGAAAAGATTACCAAGTACCAAGAAGTGGTACTTTTTGCGGCCACCCCGACCGCACCTATCCCCAATCAACACATGGGTATGCCGGGATATCTTTTGGAATACCGCACCACAACGCGCAGGCACCACATTCCACGGAAAAGATTACCAAGAAGTGGTACTTTTTGCGGCCACCCAGACCACATGTATCCCCAATCAACACACGGTTCTTCCGGGGTATCATATGGAATACCGCACGACAACACGCAGGCACCACAGTCCACGGAAAAGATGATCCAAGTATTTCTTGCTGCCACCCTGACCGCACATGTCCCCCCCTGCCCCCCCTCAATCAACACACGCTTTTTCCGCGATTTCATGTGGTATACCGCAACAGGCACCACCGTCCGCGGAGAGATGACCAAGAAGTGGTTTTTCTTCAAGGGAAAGCCGAGCACTGCCGAGGGAGTGGAACACCTGCGCATCTTCGGCGGTAGCGTCTATCCCGAGCTCAGCCAGGACGTGTGCAAGCTCCTCGGCATCGCGGAGGGGAAGATAAACCTGGGAAGGTGAAGTGGGGGTGTCGGAGGAAGATAGGTCGGCCTGGAGACGAGAGTGTACAGGATGGTGGTGTTTTCGTGCTCTAACGTTCGTTTCATTGATGACTGCCCATATTGTTTTTTGTGTAGGATTTCGGATGTTAATTTTCTTGTTTTCCCTGTAGTGCGTGTGCTGTGCTCTGCTCCTCTGCTGCACTTTCGGCTTCAAGAAGACCAACATATTCCATCCAGAGGTGGCAACCCCGCATCGCCCGCCTGTGCTGCCGCAAAAGGTACGCTGATGGGGAGTGCAGCGTGACCATCGGAGAGACTGTCGTAGGAAAGGACGTGTTCATCGTCAGCCCGACCCACTCGAACGACAGCCTGGTCGAGATGCTGCTAACGATAGCGGCAGCCCGAAGGTGCATTGATTATACATGGTGTCATGTGTTTGGACCCTTGTGGTGGTGTTCCCGATACATCGCGGTGTAGTGGATTTTTTTTTTTTGTTTCGTTCAAGAAAGGTGTCGGCATCGGCTGGACCGGTACGGACATTAGAAGGAACCGAGCGGAGACCGGAACGTTTCTCAATGTGAAGAAAGCAACAGCAACAACAACAACAACAACAACAACAACAACAACTCCCTCCATTCACTGTAAAGACTTCGACACATCCCGTTCGGCTGTGGTCATATCTCGAATGGGCAGTCTCTCTGTGTTTGTGTTTATGTTTCCTAACAAGTACAACGACAACCGGGGGTCGCATTGCTGACGTCATCCATCACGCAGGTCGTCTGCCGAGCGCATCACGGCCGTGATTCCGTTCTACGGCTACTCGCGACAGGATCGGCGCTTTCGGAGAGAGCCCATCGCCGCCGCCGACGTGGCGCACATGCTGGAGGCGGCGGGAGTAGACCGCGTCATCACCATCGACCTTCACAGTGGACAAGTACAGGTGATGATGACGGAAATGCGGTCAGTCCACCACGGTACAGCAGGAGCCTAAAGCGAGGATGTTTACTTGGTTTTAGTAGGGTTTGCAGGGTTCGGGGTTAGGGATAGGGTTACGAAGCCCCTTTTCTCTATTTCACGGATGTAAACTTGGTTTTAGTAGGGGTTACGGGGTTCGGGGTTAGGGATAAGGCTACGAAGCCCCTTTTCTCTATTTCACGGATGCAAACTTGGTTTTAGTAGGGTTTACGGGGTTCGGGGTTAGGGATAGGTTTACGAAGCGGAGCGGTCCCCGCAGAACGAGCGGGCGAACACCGTACGTGGCGTGAAGATACCACCACTCCTGGACAGATTTTTCGATTTTTCAAAGCTCCGGCCTTCTGCGGCAGAAACAGCAGTGACTGCTGTGCCGATAAATGTCGGCGTTACAACGCCCCGCCTCGTGATACGCTGTGCCTCGACTTTTTTGCTCTCCGGAGAACGCGCCTGGGGGGCTCCCTTGGGGGGTCTATTTATTTGTAACTCCTACCGGGGAAGTTGTAGCCACCCCACGTTACCTTTTCGGGATTGCTTTATTGAACTCCCCTGGGGGCGTTTACTCCGTGCTACACGGAACCCCCCCCCCCCCCTCCCGCCAACAGGGATTTTTCAAGCCCACCACCCCAGTGGACCACCTAACGCCAATGGGGGTGGCAGCGGCGTACCTTGGGGAGCTCGTGACGGAGGAGCTCAAGGCCATGGCCATCGAAGACCGGGAAGGGAAAGGAGGAGCGGCCGGGACAGGTGGTGGCGCTGTGGCGAAACGATTAAGCCAGGCGAGGCCAGAGGAGCCAACGAGGATCGTCGTCGTTGCTCCGCAGGAGGGCCAGGTAACCCCCCCCCCCCCCCGTGGGATAGCCAGGAGAAGATGGTAGCTATTTTGGGGCATAGGAAGTAGGCCGAAAAGGCGGGAAGTGATGTCGACAGGATGGATGGGGCCAAAATATATTTATCGTTAACTTTGGCGAAGACGAAGAAGGGAGGAATAATTGGCCATCGGCGATCCGTCCTGTGGGAACAAATGCTCCGTCCCCTCTCTCGAGGACGCGTGGTCAATGGTCTAACCGCTAAGGCATGCAAATCGGTGCAGGGCATCCTGCTCTCTGCGTCGACCGTGCTTGCGTGCTTTCAGACGGGGTGTTGTTGCCGTTGAGCAGCAGGAGGGCTAGGCGAGCCCTGCCTAACCTCGCTTGTCGAGATGACACCATGGGCCTCATCTAAACCAACGAACGGTGTGTGCTTGTCGTTGCACAGCGGCAGGCCAGGTGCTACTGCCAAGTTTCATCGATTGAGATGACTTGACACGGTTGTGCCCCACCGAAATCGCCGACACCAACACCATTAACATGAACAAGCGCAACAAAAGCGAGAACAGGTTCTACAACAACACCAACGCCAACAACTCCCAACAGTATGAACAGTCGCGACAATAACGAGGACAACAACAAGGAGATCAACAATTACAACAATAACGAGAACAACCACGACAGCAGCAGACCAGAACGAACGAGCTTCATAGCTACACACCAACAACTCCAGCAGCATAAACAGGGGCAACAACGACTAGAACAACAGCAGCAGCAGCAGCAGCAGCAACAACAATAAGACCTATGACAAAACAAAAACAAGACGAACAACAAAACGACGCGCAGGTGGGAAGGGCGAACGCGTTCAAGAGCCGGATAGAGCAGTACGTGGAAACTGAGACTAACCCGATAGGACTGGCGTTCATCGCCCGCAGCAGCACCAAGAAGGAGGACGAGGAAGAGGAGGTGCACAAGCACTGCATCGGGGATGTCAAAGGGTGAGTTGAGACGCTCCGGCAGGGTTATCGCCGGCTCTTCTTTCATTTGGATGTTCTGGCCAAGGTGAGCACGAAATATATTGCTATTGCGTCCCCATAACTGAAAACAAAAAAAAAAGCACACCCAACCAGTTGCCTGGGTCCTCACACATGTGGGGAGAAGCTACCGCGCATACCTCGAACACGTGGCATACGGCACGAAAAGAGGGCTCACCTTTTTTATCGCTCAGTAGGGGCCCTCGCGGTTGACGTACTTGATGTTGCTGGGGGTGGTGGTGGTGGCGTAAATGTTTTTCGTTCCATTTTGTGGTTGCTTGTGTCGCCATTGTCGTCGATGCTGGTGCTGGTGTTGAAGCTTGTGCTGTTGTTTCCGATGCTGGTGGTGCTGGTGTTCGTGTTGTTGTTGGTGTAGCTGCTGAAGACACCGACAAGGCATCATGCAAGGCCAGGATAGGATAGGACGCGCCCTTGCACTGCCGAACGTATTGCTACCCCCATCCGTCTCGATCTATATATCGATAGGGTAGGAAATACGATTTTGATCCACCTTTGACAAAGTAGGAACGAACGATTGGCCCGGTCCCGTGGGAACAAGACTCCGAATCACTAGCAGAAAGCATAGTCAATGGCTCAAAAACCGCTAGGCATGCAAAACATGAGTACACCGCCCCCTCCCTCAAGGTAGCGGAAAAGGGCAAAGCACGAGCAGGGAAGCTGCACCCAATACTCGCAAACCGGCACCTCGATACACGCATCAAATTGACGGTTTTGAAGAGCGCAATCGTACCGCCGCTAGAGTACGCCAGAGAAGCATGGGAAGGAAATAAGAAGGTAGTGAAAGAACTCGAGGCGGCGCAGATGAAAGCGGCGAAAATCATCCTAGGATGCTCCAAGCGCACAAGTAATGCAGCCGTCAGGGCAGAATTGGGGATCCAATCCCTACGGTCGGGAAGAGGCGCAAGGAAGCTGACATGGCAGTATCGCATGTGCGGGATGGGAGAGGAGAGGTTGCAGAGAATAGTATGGGAGGCGAAGTGGGCAAACAAAAAGAGGGGTAGACAACCCACGGAATGGGTCAAGGTTGTAGAGGACGTATGGAAGGGGTTAGACATCGACGAAGATGAAACGCTGGAAACGGAGGGTCTACAGGGGTTCAAGGAGAAGATATCTGTTGCTTGTGCCGAGAGAGAAGAACATAATCTAAGGAAAGAAACCAAGGATAAGGAGGGTCTAGAAGTGTACGGAATGTTGAAAGAAGGAATAGGGTTCAAGGATTACCTACATGGACCAATGGATGCAGGGACAAAGCTTAAGGTCAAATTCAGGACCGGGGACATAGGCCTTCGAGAACGCCGACGAAGACATAGGACGGTAGACGACGAAGACGACAAGTTCAAATGTGGTTGCGGCTTCGAATGCGAAGACCGTGTTCATGTAGTGGCGGATTGTCCGTGGTACGGAGAGGAGAGGGAAGTGTACATGACTGAGCTGGGAAAAATACAAGGGATGTACAGGGAGATGCTTGAGGCATAGAATAGAGAGGAGAGGACGGTAGCTGTACTGGGGAGTAGGAAGTGGTTTGAAAAGGCGGGAAGGGATATCGTTAGGATGACAGACTAGGGAAGACATTTTTGAGCCACCTTTGGCAAAGTAGTAAGGAACGATTGGCCATCGGTAACCGGTCCTGTGGGAACAATGCTCCGTCCTCTCGAGGACGCGTGGTCAATGGTCTAACCGCTAAGGCATGCAAAACATAAGAGTACGCCCCCCCCGCCCCCCCCCCCCCTT